GTTCCTATGCCTTAAAAAAAAGGGAGCATTTACGTGATTTTGTACAAAACTTTTTAAAAAAGATATTATCTTGTAGGCTTTACTCTGTGGTCTCAGTACTTCTAACATGTTTCTAAAGTCTAATGATTTATTACAGATATATTAAGTATATTAGACTCCTGGTTATTTTTTCCTCGTGCTTTCAAAATACAAGATGCCAGCAGAAGAATACTGCTTTGTGTTAAATTGCACTTGTGCCTGCTTTGCTTCTGTTTAGGTGAAAATGCCAGATGTAGAATTTTTTGTTAATTTGGGGGACTGGCCGCTGGAGAAAAGGAAGTCCCCACAGAACCTGCACCCCATCTTCTCGTGGTGTGGGTCCAGTGAGTCAAAAGATATCGTTATGCCAACGTATGACTTAACAGACTCAGTTTTGGAGACTATGGGACGGTAAGAAATTGCTTAAACTTTCCACAAAATTCACAGTGAATGATTTTCCATAGAGATAACATATATTAACATATATTAATTGTTTTCATTTATTCATTGAGACAATGGCACCCTGCAGGTAGGCAATAACTGTGTAATCAATACATTAACATTTATTTAAAAAACCAAAATTAATAGTACTTAGAATCTCTCAAGGGTAGGTATTTGGTTTGTTTGCTTTGTTTCTTCCCGCATGAACATGTTGACGACTGGCCAGGTGTCTTTTATTCCTGATTTTGTTAGAATCCTTTTTTCTGTACCTTTAAAATCCCAACACAGCTAGAATTCTTGAACTAGGAGCTACCATCTCTCACTTTAATTACTGATCATGATTAGGCTTGGCAACTGTTCTGTTGTTGTCCTGAAATACTGCCTTGTTGTCCTGAAATACTGCCAAGCCAGCTTCTAAGAGATCTCTATAATCCATCTTGAAACTGTTTATCATTTCACTGCATTTAGTTCAGGTTCCTTTTTTTATTATCAAGACTTTTTCTAATTTTGCTACCTCCTGCCCTCCCAGTTTATGTGTTTTAATTTAGCAGCATTTTTAAGGAAGTGAAATATGATGTATTAAGCAAGTTATTTTACCCTGCATCACTTTCACCTGTTTGGAAAACATATCCACTTTTACCTACTTTTTTCCATGACAATTGCCAGGTACTCTTTCCACATGCCATGTTGTTGAACTGATGCTGTCATGCCACACGCCTGTGAATTTAACATCTGTTACCTGGTTTTATTGCTGCAAAATACTGATATTGATGCAGATCATGCTGTGCTCATGACTTACCTTCATCTTTGGTATTTGCCTGTTGGCACTTTGAACTAATTGCAATTTAAAATATTTCCAGCAGGCTTCGCTATTAAATCACTTCTTTCTCCTCCAGGGTCAGTCTGGATATGATGTCAGTTCAAGCCAACACTGGCCCATCATGGGAAGACAAGAATACCACAGCGTTCTGGAGAGGACGTGACAGCCGCAAAGAGAGGCTTGAGCTTGTAAAACTCAGCAGAAAATATCCAGAGACCATAGATGCTGCTTTCACAAACTTTTTTTTTTTTAAACATGATGAAAGCCTCTATGGCCCCATTGTTAAGCACATTTCATTTTTTGATTTTTTTAAGGTAAGCCAGTAACTGTTTTCATAGAACTAGGTTCTTGATGTTTCCCATTGTCAAATAACTTAGTATGTATTATTTTTAATAAAGTGGTTTTTAGTTTTTCAGGACAACACCAGTAACAAGCATGAATAGACATCCCTCCAGGGAGATTAACTGCTATGTAGCTCTTACACTGAGGATAATAATGTCTGATTTACATCTAAATGTTCTGTAGAACCTTATGTAATCTATATAACTTCAAGTTCCTTTCTATTTCTTTTTCCTGATTCAGCGATCAGGACTACTAACATAACTAACATAGTGGGAAAATCGGTGGATGAAGTGGCACATCTACCCTCACATCAGAGGATGAGCATCTAAGAATTTCCAGAGAACTTAACTGACGAAGAGGGCAGCTGTGTGTACCCTGCACTGTGATGAATTCCAACCTAAATAATAAAACTACTTAGACATTCATGCTTGCCTAGCCAATCCTACATGTCTCAATGTCGGCAAGTCAGTAACATCAGTGCCCTCAGAATAATATAACCTAACCAAGCCACTGGGATCTTGTGTTTGTTCATAACGTATGGTCCTTTTCTTTCCAGTATAAATACCAAATTAATATTGATGGCACAGTGGCAGCATACAGATTGCCTTATCTACTAGCAGGAAACAGTGTGGTGCTAAAGCAAGACTCCATATACTATGAGCATTTCTATAATGAGCTGCAGCCGTGGAAACATTATATTCCATTTAAAAGTGACCTGAGTGATCTACTAGAAAAACTACAGTGGGCAAAAGAGCATGATGAAGAGGTAAATACACATTTAGAAGTGTTCAGTAATGTTTCTAGAAGAGAACAAATATTGCCTTTCTTTAGAGCAAACAAAAAAAATTAGAAGAACTTAAACATTATTTTCATCAACTCCACAAATGAGAAAACCACTCGAAAAATATGTAATACTGCCCTTAATTTGAAATTAAACTTTGCAAAAAATAAAGAACATTTTCATAACGGTGCCTTAACTTTTAAATTAAAAATGCTTATTTAAGTTATCCTAAACTGTCAACATCATACTTAACTTCATAACCAACACTGGCATCCTCAAATAAATACTAGTTGTGGGAATAATAAAAAACAAAGCAAACCTTTTATTTTTTTTTTTGACAGGCAAAAAATATTGCAAAATCTGGACAAGAATTTGCAAGAAACCATCTCATGGGAGACCACATTTTTTGTTACTACTTCAAACTTTTCCAGGTCAGTATATTTTTAATGGCTACTGGCACAAAAATAGAAATCACAGGGAAAGAATTCAGGGCAACGGAGCTGCTGGAAATTGGCCAGCCCAGTACTTGAAGCCACAAAGCAAGCAGCAGCAATTAAAATCTTAATTTGGTTTACAAACATTGTATTCAATTATATCCTGTGAAACCCTTTAAGACTACGGTGATGCTTTGAGAAGCACTCGGATCCCATAAATCTTGATCTAATCTGCAAGAATATGTTGCCCACAATGATCAAAGAATTCCATATCAGATGCACACCCTGTGAACCACAGCTGAAAATATCTGTGCATTAGCACCAAGGTACCAAAACTCCAGTGAGGCACCCGAAGGGGCTCCCTTCTGCAGTTAAGTATCTGCTTACCCTGTCTGTGACAATGTGGAGTAACAGACTGTGTACCCCAGAGTTTTTACACAATTATTCAGCTGAGTTGGTGCAGTATTTACAGCCAGACATACAATCTAACAAGTTTATGAATTAACGATACCTTTTTTTTTAAACTAGGAATACGCCAGCTTGCAAGTGAGTGAGCCAAAAATCAGAGATGGAATGGAGAAGGTGCCACAGCCTGATGATGACCTTTTCCCGTGTACTTGCCACCGAAAAAAGGTACAGCACATGCAGAGTTAAACATGAAGTGCTGAGTGTCTTCAGTTCTTGTCAACCCCCCTAGGAGAGGTGCTGCTCAGTGCCCCTGGTATCAGTTACCAGGCCAAGCCATTAACACCTATCGAACTTAGAAACTTTTCTTCATGTATTTGCAGGACTAGACAGTGAAAAATTGAGCTTCCAGCTAACTGAAACATGTTTCTTCTTTCTTGACTGCAGGCCAAAGATGAACTCTGACAGAAAGGAATTAATTTTTTCAGTACTTGCCTACATTGAGACTGTCTTCTTAAAGAAAGAAGAAAAATTTGAATTAATATGCCAGTGGATAATGTCAGTGGATATTATGAAGTTTACCATATAATGATCAACATATGGAAGAAAACAAAGTACACCCTATTTCCTTTTTATCATGCAGTGGTGGCAGAGTCTTGTTCAAACACATTTTTATAATTTTTTTTAAATAAAAAACAGGTTTGTATCAGTCATGTGTTCCTATCCCGAGCTACCTTGGAGATGCAGATACTTTTTACTCATGCTTGTTATACTGAGTCTTTTCAGATGTTCTGCAAAAAAGGGCAGGTGAGAATTGTACATTTGCTCCCCACACCACATATCTACCCAAGGGCTTCTTTTTCAGACCATAACCTTGACCCTTCTGAGAGGATCAGTATTCTCAAAAGGGGCTCATAATAAATCTTACTAACCTGAAGGAAAAACACAATTCATATATTGCTGTAAGCTTTGGTTACACCCGCAGGTTACTCATAGTCCTTAATGGGGAAAGCTGCAGCTGCCTCCACACACAAAGTGTTTCATCTGCCGTGCAATGTCAGAGCTCAGACAAGGACCCGAGTTCCCCTTGCTAATGGGTAATGACGTCCAGACCCTGGCCTGCCTCTTTAGAGCCCTCCGGAGAGAGGAGCCCTGCCTCCAGTGTGACCTTGTGCAGCAGAGCTGCTTCCTGCTGCAGGAGCTACTCCATCCCTATAAACACAATTTGTGGTTTATCAGTATTTATGAGAGGGCCTCCGTGATCAGTCCTTTACACAAAGGCCGTGTCTGGAGGAGACTGTTCGAAACTGTAACCCCCAGTCTTTGATCCACTGCCCAGCTGTGCCTGCACTACCTCCGCCTCCTCACACAGGCCCATGGTCCGGCTCCCTGAGGTGGCAACACTGTAAACCATGGGAGACTCTTCTCAGCACCTGGGAGTGACACCAAGGCAGGTTAGTACACCAGGCTCGCCGGCCTCAAGGGATGTGCTGGTAGAATTCTACAAATCAGTAGGTTTTAATTGCAAGCAAGTAGAGCATCAGGGATGTACTCAGAAATTGAAGGTACCTAAAGCTATGCTAAGTAGATTTTTTCCAGTATATTACTTCAAATATTAGTCAAAAGCATTTACTTAGTGCTCTGCATTCCTAAGTGCTGTATGCAGTTATTTGCACAGAAACACACAAAAAAATGCTGCCATGATACACCATATTTTCTTTCCTTCAAGAAGTTCTTTATTGTTTTGCATATTTTTTTCATTCATACAAAGCTTTATTTGCATTTGCACTGAGACCTCTGAAAAGATGTTTTAAAAAATATGCCTCTCAAAAATAATAAACTCTTACTTTGCCATATTTAGGAAAAACTATATGAAAATACTGCATAAACACTGCAAATTATTTGCGCTCCAGTTCAACATTCTCTCTAAGCCAGGAAAAAACTTGGGTATTTATTTCTTCCATGACATCGTCTGTTGTTCGTCCTTTGACTGCCATTCCATGGTTGGCTTTATCAATCCAATGGATTTTTTTAGGGGCTTTCATTTTGCTTGCCACACCTTCTAGCAATTGCTATGGAGAAAATAAGAATTAAAAAGTTAGTGAATCAGCTGCTACAAACTGTGCAACTCCTAGATGTCTCTCGCTTTGCCTGTGTAATGCCTGATAGGCAGCTCTTAAAAACAAAATGGATCTGTGTGCACATGAAAAACACCTTGATAGGAAAATGGGATGTATTCTGTATTCAGGATATGAATGCTGTGCTCAGCAACGGGATCTGCTCAAAGGTCTGCCCTCACTCAAACACAAAGTAGCAGCAAATTAAAACTTCAAAAACTGAAAAGGTCACAACCCTGTGCAATCACCTTCCCCAAACTGACGAAGGAATCCACTTCTATTGTCAGCGGGTAGTGCTAGCAGTACAGATACTTCCTAAGTCAGGTTTGTCTGTAGAGGCTGAATAGCAATGTAATTCCTTAGGGACTGACTTTCATGCTGTTGCACTTTCTCAGCAAACAGATCTAAGAACCAGTTCAGTAACTCTTAAAGATTTCTCCATTAAGAATGCACTCCAGGGATCTTGCTGGTTGCTAGCCTGACTTATTTTGGTGACAACTCCTCTCAAAAGCACTATGACTCCTTAGAAGCTGTCCAGGCAATGCTGGTTGGACACACTCCCAAATTCAAGCTGACCTGTTCAACAGATACGTGTTTGCAGGAAAATAAGGCAGAAAACCACCGTGTTCTCACCTCTGCACACCTGCTCTTCAACTCTACAGAAATATCACTTTCTACCACAGAAGCCTGATTTGTGAGCCAGAACTGCTTTGCTAGAGCCATTTGTCATGACAATGTGACAAATATGAAATTGGTAGCACAGCACACGTTTCGTAATCTGAAATGGTTAAAACAAAATAGCAACTCACTCCTTCTGCTTTTAATTTGTACAATAAAAAACACCTAAATCGGTGGTATTTCAGTGGCCCAAAGATGCCTTTGCTAAAGTGGAAGATCGAGCATGATCCATAGCTCTTGAGTAGCAAAGGAAAGCACCACCAGGCTTCCTTATGTCCAGTGAAGTTTCCTACCCAAGGCTTCCTTCAGAAGACATATATTTAGAGAAGGCTGTAATCAGGTACACCGTACAGATGTCACTCTGGCTCATTTCTACTCCTCCAGACTGCCCTTTCATAGCAGGATTTACAAGGGTACTCACTTTCTCACACATCTCATCTGCTGATCCTGAGACAAACAGCACTGGACACCTGATAAATAATAAATCTTCATCCCGGAGCTTGGACTGAAGTTTTGGTCGATGCAGTGGGTAAGATAAACATATGAGACCTCGAATGAAGTCATCATCATCATCATTCTGGCTAAGCTGACGTATCAGAGAGGCAGCAGCTCGTGAGCCCATGGAACGGCCTTTCTCCCATGTAAAAATAAAGGAAAAAAAGTACATCTGCTGTCACCTCATTCACATTTCGTTTGAGTAAACAACTCCTAAAAACAATCCAACTGAGTGTATTTCAGCGAACCAGCAGTAAGAAATGCTAGTGATGCTTTTATTCTTTTATTCCATGAAAAATATTAACCTTAATGTCAACGTTTTCTGCTAAAATAGTTGTCTAAGTATATTATGATTTCATGTCCCCATTTAAAAAAGAAGGGGAAAAGAAAGAAAAGATACATGAAGAGGGATCCTGTGCAATACTGGAAGGATACAGCCCATCCTGGGGGGCAGGGGGAAGAGAGGGACAGGTCCTATGCTCCAGAGCCTTGAAATCTGAGATAGCTATTATACAATCTTGTATAATTCTTTTCATGCAACCCCAATCTGCTCAAATTAAAACAAAGTTCTATGAACCTTACACCCAAAACAAAACCAGCAAGTGTTTATGCACTCCTCAAACTTCAACCTAGAAGTAAAAGTAGAAGGGGGAAAAAAAAGATTAAGTATGAACGTGTAGCACGAGGTCAGTCAGTGACAGCAAGGAAATATCAAAGCATCTCCTCAAAGACGAGGCATATGAGCTAACAATGCTCTGTAATTGAGTGTTGCAAGGGGCTGATTCCACTGGGATTAACTTGCATCAGCACAGATTTTGTTTCACTTAGTCAGAGAACGTTTAGAATTTCCCATATCAAATTATTCCTAATCACCCCCATCTACTCCCCTTTTCACATAATATAGCCTTTTTTTTTTTTTTTATCTGCCACTAGGTTTTAATTACCAAAACCTGTTTTGGGAAAACTGTTTTCCATTTACCAGTAACCAGGAATTCTTCAAGACCTGTAGTTAAAAAGTACACATGGATTACCAAAAAACTCATGCCCTGTCACTTTTCAGAGATAAGTAAGTTTTCTCCCAAAGTACCTGGAAAATAGAATCTGTTGCTCTTTCCTTCCTTCTCTACAGCAAGATCTGTGGCGCCGTGAGGAGGTTGAACAGATCTAGACAGCCATGCTCTCAAGAGAATCTGATGAAGGCAGCAGGCTGAACGTTCCCACTGGTGACCCGAGCAGCAGTGCTGCTCAAGCCAGCTGCACACGTGCCCTGCACAGCCACCACCTCCAGGGCTGGTCACATTCAGCTCCAGGGGAAGACCCCCAAATGCAGATCTGTAAGTGGGCTTGGCACCCACGTTCCCAGGGCAGGCAGAGGGCTGCGGATCCACTAATGAAGGTTACAGAGCATTTGACTGTCAGCTCTCCCCAGGCAATACCCACTATTAGGAGGTTATTCAGCTTGTTCCCTCATCAGACAGACACCTGTTATCCACATCTGTTCATTCACTTCTCAACAAAGTGGGACAGACTTGGAATAATTACAGACTGCTATTACTGGAGACAGTGTAAGAGAGAAAATTATTGATAATAAAAACAATACCTGCAAGGAAGACTCCATAAAGTTTATAATCATCAGAAAGTTTTAAGTATTCCTAAAGAAATAAAGAGAAGCATTACAAGTCAAAATTACAAGGCTGGAGATTTCTTCTGTTTCTAGCCAGTAAACACAAAATTGGAAGCACTTTTAGCAGTTTAGAGCAAACAAAGAACAGATACATACAAGTTACTCTCTTGGTTTTTTCACACAAATGGTTTCATAACATTTTGAAGCAACAATATAAACATAATCGATTTCACATTAGTTCTCAGCAAGTCTAAAATATCAGGTGCCCTATCAAGTTACCAAAACATGAGCGATTACTGTGTATCAACTTAGTCATAGTAACAGAGGCCATACACACTCTGGCCCATCAAAAGGCAAAATAAGTTAACCAAAACTGCCCTTCCTTCAGATCATGTATTTCCAATTTGAGACACGATCAGTTCAGTCTGACAGAAAAGATAAAATTCAGCAACGACTTTTTCAGTTTTTTGGAGATAACTGATCAGATGCTATCCCAGCAGAGGCCTTTAAACTACTTTTGCGCAGCAGCATATTACCATAAACTCACTAACAACATTGTGCTTCTTTCAAAAAGAATGAAGAACAGATCCACATTAGAGACAGAAAAGTCTGACTTCAAGTTAATGTACATATAATCACAGTGATATACAAATTAGTTCCTTAAGAACTGGAATTTGTTTCCCTACAAAACTGCCTCATGCTCAAGGAAAAGTGCTTCCCATGCCCCACTAAAAGTCACAAAATAACCAGGAAAAAATTTCCGCTCCTTCCTACATACTCCAGAACAGGAGGATCATCTAAATTGATTCTATTGAAACAAAAACTTCCTTATTTTAACAAAACTTAACTACAGAAGAGATCCTTTAATAATGTAGCAGCAGCAGAAAGAGATAAACACCTGCATATAAGTTTAACCTCATTTTGAAATCAAAGGTTAGTTAGGTTCTAGGGCTCTCATATGCTAATTCCAAACTCTCTTGCTTCAAATCCTGCCATGACCCAGTCCCCTACTCTTTCCCAAGTCTGCTTCTCCCAGCTTCCAAGCCTAAGAGACCCAGAACAACTCCCAGATCAACTTCTTTCTCTCAAAACTACTTCCACAGCTGTATCTCTTAATCCCCCACCCCTCACCAAGCCCTCCCAAAACACCTACCTCTTGTTTCCATCCCAAACGCTCGAGTTTTTCTCAAGCTGTAAACTTTCCCAGGAAAGACCCTTGCTTTTTCTTCAAGCTTTCCTTTCTCTCCCTGCACTCCAACCCACACACTTGAAGCAGCTGTTCCAGCTATTGCCCATGTAAGAGTTGCTTCTGCTGTTTCTGTGTACAGACAGCGCTCCATTTAGTTAATCACTGGTTCTAATTTTCCTGCTCTTGCTTGACTAATGTCTGCCCATAATTTAAGATACCTGGAAGACAACATCAATGGATCTAAGCTTTGGTAGAATTTGGTCACTTCTTACCACAACTGCTTTGAAAGCCTTAGTCCTGTAAGCAACATTAAGGCCTTTACAAGTAAACCGCAGGCACAGAACTCCGTGGGATGCCAGGTAGGCTGCCAGAGACAGTAAGTGAGGGAAATTCATATCTCCTCCAGCTCCATGGGTAAGAATCACTCCATATGTTGATTTCTTCTCTGGGACAGAGAAGATAGCATCAAGGTATTTGTTTCCAAAAGGTATTTTCACTTTAACCTAGAAATGAAACAAACCCTAATGTTATTAAAAAAAAAAAAAAAAAAAAAAGGAAGCATGTTTCCAGGCCACACATTATGATAAACTAAAATCAGACAAGAAATAAACAAAAATTGTAAGCCTCCTTGTATTTCTTTCATTTAAGAGTACTAAATGAGTAACTCTACCCCTGGTTCAAAGACTTTCCATATAAAAATGGGCAAGTCCCTTTATTACTCAACACCTTATGCGATGCATTAGAAAATAAAACACCCCTAGCTTCAAAGCATAAACTGAAGTGATCCTTACCTTCTCTATGTACCTATGTCCAGCTTTTCCAGAGCTAACTAGCAGCCTAAACCACAACATGTGACGTCAAGACACAGCCCAGCAAACATCTCCAGACTGCAAAGTGGGAACCACTCAGTGGAACAGCAGCCTGCATACAGTCGAGGACTGAACTCTCCCCAGGGACAGGAGATAGCACGCTGCAGACAATGTCAGCCCCACAGGAGGAGCAGAACCAAACAAGCTGATGTTCTGCAGAACGAAAGGGAGCTGGACGGCACAGCATACGTGTTCCTGCTGCAGCTTCGGAGAACAAAAAGGCAAATAGCCCGGTGCTGGGATGAAACCCAACTTCATGCCACTGTCTCCCAGAGGCTCTCCCTGGCAGCGGTCCCACAGGGGAACTGCGCAGAGGGGCAGGAGGCTGGCGGCGGCCTGGCCGAGCTGCTGCTGCTGCTGCCAGAGCCTCTGCCCGCCTGGAGTGGTGCGAGATGCCAGACAAGGGGATGGCAGTGGCGCCTGCACACGGAGATGGGCACAGCAGCCACAGCCGCGCTTCCCGACCCTCGGGCCGCTGCTCGGGGGGACCAGCCCAGGCGGGCTCAGCCGCCCACCAGCCACGGATGCGCCTCTCCGGGGAAGGCAGAGGCGGTAGCACACCCGCCCCGCCCCGCCTTCCTCAGCTCCAGGGACTCCTCCGAAGGGAAGGGCGGTTGCCAAGGCTGCAGGACCCCCCGTGTCCCAATGGAACACAGGCCCTTGGACCCCGCGGGCCGCAAGGACCGCCCAGGGAACACGGCCATACCTCGGCATGCCCGCTCATCCTGGCGGGGCGGTGACGTCACGCGAGTGACAGCCCGCCGAGCCAGTCCCGCCCCGGGGGCTGGGCCCTGCCTGGCGCTGATTGGCCCACAGCGGGCGAGGCCCCGCCCCCCGAGGCAGGAGCGGGCAGCCGGGCCGCGCTGGGGCTGTGGGGGAACCTTGGGGGTCGGTGGGTTGAGTCGCGTTAAGTAAACAAAAACTCGCGATAAATAGCTTTTATTTCCCTGTACATGAAAAAAAAACCCAGGCTGATGGGTGGTGATTCAGAAGAAATAAAGCCAAGTACCTAGGGATTGCTTGGAAAGTCATGTTCTCACTGACTCAGGGAATACAGATATGATGCTTCTGACGAGTTACAGATCACAGAATAGTTATGTAGGAAAAGACCTCAGAAATCATCGAGTCCAACCTTTGACAGAATAAAGTGCCACGTCAGTGGTTTCCTGAACACCTTCCAGGGATGGTGACTCCACCACCTCCATGGGTAGTCCATTCCAGCGTTTAACAAGCCTCTCCGTGAAGAAATTCCTCCTAATGCCCAGTCTAAACCTACCCTGGTGCAGCTTGAGGCCATATCCTCTCGTCCTGTCACTAGTTGCCTAGTAGAAGGGACCAACCCCCACCTGGCTACAACCTCCTCTCAGGTAGTTGCAGAGAGTGATGAATTCTCCCCTGAGCCTTCTCCTCTTTCCCTCAGCTGCTCCTCACAGGACTTGTACTCCAGCCCCTTCACCAGCTTCATTTCCCTTCTCTGGGTGCACTGCAACCCTTCAATGTCCTTCCTGAACTGAGGGGTCCAAAAATGAACACAGGATTCAAGGTGCATTCTCACCAGTGCCGAGTACAGAGGGAAGGGTCAGGTGTTCAGTGCCACATCAGGCAATTTTTTTGGCAGATTGGTGGCACACTCGATCTCCTTGGCATTCACAAGCAGGAAAGAGAGACTCTGTGGCTGGTGCTGTAGGTACCAACACATATCTATGCCCTGGACTGTGCTTTATTGTACAGTAAATAACAGGGTATGTTCAAAACACATTCTTATACTGATGGAAGACAGCATCAATAATCTACAACAGTGCCTGAAGTATTTGTATATTGAGTATTTCTCTGGTAAAAAATTCCAAAATCCCCTATTGCAAGGTATTTAGTCAGAGATCATGTTTTCTTCCAGTATCAGTGTATAAAAACTCATATCAACTAAGGTGCCTAATTACTTAGCTGATTGAAGTTGTCATCACCAAATAGAACTTTGTTTTTCACATGTTCACCTGCTGGAAAATAAGCACACTCTGACTTCTGCTCCAAATGTCTCACTGATTGTCACTCCACCAGGTGGATATTGTCAGACACTGGAATTCAAATACTGCAGTCCTCTGAGAAGCGAACCTGGCAGGGCAGCTCAGGTCCAGCTGAGCTGTTAGTAACTGCTGTAACTAATCTGCTGCCTCAAAGACCACCCCTGCTGCCTGAGGACAACGAGCCTCACAGGCAAATTCCCAGTCCAGGCATTATTATCATAAGTGTGAAAGATAGGAGTGCAGAATTTGAAAAAAACAGGGAGATATATTTTTCTGAATTTCTGCCTTGCCTAAAAAATATCAAGCTAAAGCAAGATGCAGAAGTGAAAAGCTGAGTGAAAAGCAGCAGCACAGCCTGCACGAGCTGTGTGCCTTTCATGAGGAGCTGCACCACAGATGGTGTTGAGACAACAGCTCCTTCAACCATAGTTCAAATTTGGGCAGTCCAGCAGACTAGGGGAAAGAAAAAGCTTCAGAGAAATGCAAGATCAATTTATCTTGGACAAAGATGACACTATTCTGATTAATACTTAACACCAATTAAGCCTTTATAAATGAGATATTTGCAAAAGGAGACTGACAAGATTTGTTGTGCCAAAGTAGTTACAATAATCTAGAAAACAGAAATGCAACAAGAAAGTTAAGAAAAACTTCATATTAAGTTTTGATTATTCTTTTTTTGCTTACTTTCCTATACTTAAGTGATGCTTAAGTGGTTTTTTGGGGATTTGTTTTTTTCTTTTTAATTTTTCCACCCACTTAAGTCCACATGCTATATTTGTCCTGCTTTATCCATATACTGTTTACAGAGCAATCCTTGAGTAACATGTATCCCATTAAATCTACCCATGTGTAACCTCTTCCCACTGGAAAACTGCTTTCTTATGCTTTCCTCATACAGCAAGCTGCCACCAGTCTCCTTTCTGTTTTCTCTGTTCAGTTTCTTAGACCAAAACTCCTTTCAATATTTAAAACTCTTCTCTGCATAAGCAGAACCTTCAAGGTAGTCTAGCTCATACCTGGCAGAGTCCAGAACAATGCAAATGCCAGATTGGATAGGGCTCTGAGCAACCTCATTTAGTGTGATACCTTGGAGTTTTGATTTTTTAATTTTTGTAGATCTTAGAAGTAGTTGTGTAGTAAATGTAGATTTTAGAGTAGAAGCATATTATCTCTTTACCCTTTAACACACCAACTACACATAGCAAACCCTGTTACCCATTCCCATATCAATCCCCTAAATTCCACTTGCCTGTTTAGGCTCATTTTCAAGGTAGAACTGTAGAGAACACCCTAAAATCTACGCAAGAAGATATAGCCATAGACACAACAACCTTCAGGCCTAAGACTCTGGAAGGCCTCCAAAAACATTACGTGCTCTGAGGAAGATGAAGATGAAGAAGAAGGGGTCCCAAAACGCCCCCAGACCCAATTCCCAAGAGGCGTGGTGGGGGCAGAACCTGGGCGGTGGCCGGACGGGGATTGGGTGAAAATCATTATAAAAACTATGAACACCTGTATTCAGGAGCGTGCCTGGAGGCTCATTAAAGCCTTTATATCCTTATCTTATCTCCTACCTAATTTAGCTTGGAGTCTTTTTTTCCCCACAGCCACTTAGGCAACAAGTGGAAGGTGTCCCTCCTCATAGCAGGAGGGTTGGAACTGGATGAGCCCTAAAGTCCCTTGCAACTGAAACCATTCTACAATTCTACGATGAAATGAATGTGTAAGGAAGGAGAGACTCTGTCATTTTTTTATCCTATAGTCCATGTGAATGGGGTTGGACCAGCCTATTTTTGCCACACTTTTCCTGCAGTAACTTTCCTTCTGGAAAAGGAAGTGGCCCCAAGTATTGCTAATATGTCAAAGGCTAGGAACTTGAGTTATAAATATATACATTAGATTCCAACTCATGGGCATATTTTTTATGATGAATAAATTCTGGCTTTTATTAAGTTCTGCATATGTAATGAAATACATTGATTTACATGCAAATGAATTGTTTTTCAATTTTGCAACATAAGGCAATCCTCATATCTAACTATTCACAATTAGGTTTCTGTGGGTTTAGGGGGACATTTAAGTAGATTCCAGTTGATTTGCAAGTGTTCTGGTAACTATTCTGAAACCCAGTTGTGTTCCCTTACAGGCATATTGAAAATCTTAATTATTTTCTTTACACACTTATATATGAATTAAAAGTCTAAGTTCAAGCTTCCACCTCTGAAAAAAAAACCAAAACAGATTATAAATATTTTTTGAATTTCTGTATTAAAGTTTTTAATTAAACATCTAAGAAAACGTGGTTTCTTAGGTACATGACATAATTTCATAACTTTAATCTTACATCACCCCTGGAAATAGAAGTTTATTCTGAAAACAATACGTAGTGCATAGTAACCTAAATTTGTCACCAAATATGAAAACTATGAAAGGTATGTGATTTGACATTTCTCAGTGAGAATATATGTTGAGTGTTATAATAACCTACACACTGCTGTAAGCACCTCTGACAGATTTGATATGCCAAAGACAGCTGGGTTTGAGGAAACAGTGGCTGTTTATCAAAGAACAACATTATCCCCGGTCTAAACTTGGGACCTGTTAACTTTCAGTAGCACATCAGACAATCCCCATTCTTTTCCTTGGATTATAAATACTGCTTTCCATACCAGAGACTTAGGTTAACACAACTCACGCAATGGGAACAACAGAGATGACCTTTTCCACTAATCTTGTGTTGGAATAGCTTTGTTTAGAAAAATGTTTAAAAGTAATTATAAGTGCAAAAGAATATATATGGGTTTTCTTTCTGTATTTTAGTGCAAAATAGCTAGCAGCTTAATGGCATGGGGATCAGAAACATTTTTTCTATTCTTAAACTGTTTAATAAAAGACCAGCAAAATTTTTTTACTTGCATTAGTCTGGAGACATACATATTTGTTTTAAAAGCTCAACTGAAAAACCCTCTAAATTACAAACTTGACTTTTGACCAAGAGCCTTCATTTTTTCTTTTCCTGAGGATGTGGATATGCAGCAACACGTGAGCATGCTCTGTTCACAAGCATCAAAGGCAACTTTACTAATTTTCTGAAAGCGATCAGCAAACTATTATTTAATTAGCCAATACAATTTCCTGTGTTTAAAAGTGGTGATATCCATAACACTGCCTAACTTTTAACTATTGTATCATACGCCTAGAGGGTCTGAAAAAGTTTAGAGGTCTTCTGAGAAGGAGGAAATGATGGGCAGGCAATAAGCAGAACCACTATAACATGCAGAAAAATACAGGATTTTAATGTGGCGTATGTAAATCCCCATGTCTCCATGATGAGCTGGAAAACTTGGTCATTTGCATTAGATGACTTCCTTCAGCAGGGGTGAAGGAGCAAGCCAGATGCTCACATTCTCAAGGTACAGACAATGGTCACCAGTGAGATCAGAAATCGTCTTGGCTACAACTTTTTTTGGGACTTTGGGCTGGTCAGAAGGCAAAGTACTCAAACCAATCTGAAAGCAGTTCTATTAGTGGTGATTCTCTAATGCAGTCTAATAAAATGTACTTATTAAGCAATTTGTTCATTTCACATTGATAACCACATCATTGTTTTATTATTATACTTTTTATATATATAA